GCACTCCGATTCACTAACATGGAAATGGACAATGGCCATTTTCCTCTACAAATAGATGGTGTTCCACTTCCAGGTTAGCGAGTCAAAGGGCAACACCTTTTCCAACGGAGTTCCCCCGGAGCCATCGACCTCCGTCCATCCCCATGAACCAAGTTACATGGACATGAGGCACGGTCATGACCATAAGAAAATATGCCAAAAAGAGCTGTGCCTTCCAGACATTTGCCAAAAAAGGGGGGACAACAGCACATGCACCGGCAAGGCCCGGATTGGGCGAGTTCCGTCAGACGCAAGGGCCGACAACCCAAAGACGAGGGCGCCCGGTCTTGGAGAGGAGGAGGTCCTGCAATCCAAGGGGGCTCATGCGTTGGCCACGTCAAAAGCGCTTGCCGGTTCGCAACGACCTTTTGACCCTAAAGCAACAACTGACTTAGTTTATCAAGGAAACTATTCACAACGATTCGACTCGTGCAACATGGACTCTTTGAAGGGTGGTAAGTAAATTCTCATGGACTCTGATGGTTAACAAGCACAGCTACTAGAACATAGCCCAGTGTTCTGGGTGCAGGAAGCCCACACTCTGAGCTATTATCTTGCAACAGTTTGAGTATCCCACCCTTTCTAGTTGTGAACAATTCCCTCCAATGCGTGGGGAAGCTCGTCATGGAGCATGCTGTCCCGCACGCTGTCCCTCCAGGGGATCGTCTCCAGCTCGCGTCAATGAGACCTTCGATATCACAGACTGTGGAAGATCTGACAGCATCACCATCTGATGGAGACAGCCATGGATTGAGACACTCCTCTCTTGACATGGAGGGAGAAGAGCAGGCCGGACCGTCAATGGATGTGATACAAATTGGGTGATACAAACTGGGTGTCAGGTGCTGTTGTCCAACCAGCTTCTAATAACCACTCGGGTCACCTAAGTACCATTGAAGGATATTGAAGGAATAAATCCTGAACCTCATGAGAAACATCTTACCCGTTACAATCTTTAGCATTGAAGCATAGCTGGCGCAGAAGAACTTCTGAATCACCACTACACATTTGGAGACTCTCTCTCTCTCTCTCCCTCCCTCTCTCTGTCTCAGGTGAACCAATCAATGGCCCCCATGTCATCCGTATCCTCCAGTCTGGCAGGATCAAACAAGCTTGTGACGCAGGAAGAAGCTTTCCGAGGGACTGACTTGACTCTTGACTTTCAATGTGGTTCATTTAATTAATACAGTAACTAGCTAGAGAGAGAGAGAAGGATGTGTGTGTGTGTGTCTATCGATCGATCGATCGATCGATCTATCTCTCTATCTCTGTATCTACCTACCTGCCTACCTACCTACCTGACCTATATACATACAGAAACCAAACTTACGTATATGCCGTCTATTTCTGTGGAAGGTCCTGATTGGACCCCAGCGACTGCTCCTCCTGTCAAAATGAGGCCTCCCAAATGGGATCCACGCAGCGTTGGCGCGAAAAAGCACACCGCTCGAATTCAGGTTACAGCTGATCAGGGGCCGTTTCTCAGCAAACGCAAGTGCTGGGTGATGAGCTTTTGAGCGTCCAGAAAGTTCGAGCTTAAATGAATGAATAGAAAAGCAAGAAGGTGCAAAATCTAAATCAAGTGTCATAATGACTCATGCTCAACCAGCATCCCTTCAGCAGCAACCAGGGAAAAAAACATCGCTTGGGGTTGCGGCAAATGTGGCGCGGTCTCAATATCAGAGCTTTGTCAACGTCCAGAATGTAACGGTTTTTTTGTAAGAAATTGACTGATGTATGAGGCTGGTCACAAAGCATGTCGCTCTTGCAGGCGATTGGCCGCAGCTCTTGCTACAAACCCCTATCGCTTCCTACACTTTTCTCAATCATGTTCAACGAAGAAATTCCAGGGAAATACCCTTTGCAGAGGCCAGGGCCCCCCTCTCTCTGTCTCCCTCCCTCCCTGCAGTGCAGTGCAGCTCAAACATAGAAAAGAAACTGGTTGGTTTGTCCTGCTGGGTGAGTTCCGGCACTCCCCTCGTCTCCGTCTTCAAGAAAAGTCCTAGATACAAGCTTCAATCCCACAAACTTCAGTGGGCAGCTCCTTCACTCATCGGCTAAGCGGTGCGCAGAATTTTCCGCAATCCTCGGCTAAGCGGTGCTCACTGCGCTCGCCAAGCACAGTGGCCATGGAAAGACATGAAGAGGTCAATGTATCGAATGTCGCTGCGAAGCTTGGTTGGTCTATCCGGTGATATTGCAGCATGTCGACGGGGCATGACCAACACTATTTTCTTGAAAATGTGGGCAAGAACCACACAACATCAAGACTGGGCATTCAAAAGCTACGACCAGTTGGCAAATAAACTTGACCTTACCAAAGCTTGACACCTACTGTCCCTTGAAGCCCTTCCGGTGGTTTCTCCATTCTTTCAATCACCGAGTTCGGGTGCACCGAACTCAGCCTGTCTTTTCACCGGGTTTGGTCGGGTTTTTATCCCAAAAAAACATCTCAACAGGAACAGGGGGGCCTCGTGCAAGACATGACCGCATCTGGAGAAAGTAGAAGAATGAAAAAATGCACCTACAGAACAAGCCTGGCCTAGGGTGCCCCCAGCCAAACCGAGCCCCGAGAACTGTGCGTCCGAGCATTTACTGCTGCAGTGTCGTCTCATCGAGAGGCTTATTTACAGGTGACACCTGGAAGGCTTCAGTGACGGCTTCAGGCGGCGGAGACTAGAAAGACAGCAGCAATCCTCAATAGGCAGGGTGAGTTGTTAGCACAAACATGTGGGCTCCATGAGGATTCGACGTGCCACTTGGACATCCGATGTCGACGTGGCAAAGGAAAACCCCTCATCTTGCACTCTCATGTCACCACAGTGGGTCCCTTGCTGGGGGCCTCCTAACCGCATCCAACCAAAATGAACAATGATGGACCATGATTGACCCAATAGCAATAGCCACGCAAGATCCGGTTCCAGCCGGATGATCCACGCCAGATCCGCTACCCGGGGGGATTCCAGGCTTCGAAGCGGCGAGCAGGAACACCAACCTGGGAGCTCTCCAATGAGTCGATCAGCTCTCTTTCCCCACTCGACTCGGACCCACTGAGGACGCGTCTCCTACGACTTCGACGCTTCGAAGAACTCTTGGGGGCGGAGACCTCCATGGACCACCACTCCACCGACGAGCTGGTACCGGAAGGTGGACTTCGAGCAGTCTTTAGAACGACAGGACCCCATCTGGTCATCTCCTGCCCATGGACCACCAGGAGCTCATGTTGGGACGACGGCGATCTATCTACATCTATCTATCCTTCTTGTTCAGTTGAATGGACCAGGACCTCATATCATATCATATCATATCATATCACTCAAAAGCATCTCCTGGGTGATTCCCTTGCTCTTTTCCACCCCAAAACTGTCTCGGACCGTCTCAGACCATCTCACCTCAAAGAAGCCCGGATCCTCAGAGGACTCTTCCGACAGCCTCAGGAGGTCGCCTTCTGTGGAAGGACTGTGACCACCAGGGCTGGGGGGAAGCTGCTCTTCTGCTCACGTTGAAGAGAGGCTTGTTCGGTCCAGCTTCGTGGTGGTGTCTCTTCTCCGATGCTGTGTTGCTTTCGCCCCAGCACCACACCAGCCATGTCACCAGTTAGGCTTGGCCTTCTACACCAAGAGGTCCTGGAACTCAATTTGGAGTTGTGTTGGTCACAACCCATGCCGCCCCGCTCCCTGCTCAAACCCACAGGGTAGTTTCTAGACTACACGGTCATCTACTAGCAGGGCGGGGAGGTCCATCACCCTTCCTGGGGAGTGTCCACCAAAACTGCTCCACTCTTCACTCGTCACTCTCCACCCTTTCTGGGATGCCATGCACGGGCTTCACGTCCTCGGCGGAATTCGGGAGCCGATGCGGAGCGACCCGATCCGCACACGGACGTGGGTGACAGCGTGTGGTGCCGGTGCTTTCCGTGGGATACACATGGATGTGGGTCAAAAGTCAAAACCTGGCGGATGGCCATCCAAGTTTACCATCCACTTCCCTTGGAAAATGTGCAACTTGGAATCGGATCATCCACATCGATCTTCATGATCAGGCTCCGCCCCTGTCCTTCATTTGAGCGCCGCAGGTGACCGCAGGTGGTCCCCAAATAGGTAGAAGCGGTTTCCAATACATTCTCTACATGTTCAGTTCTATCTATCTATCTATCTGCTCAGGGGTCCACAATAAGGGTCGGGTCAAGTCACCCAGGGTCGCTGAAGCGCGTCTTCAGCTCAGCTGGGCTCAGAACGGTTCGAACTGTCGGGTTCGCGTTGCCATGATGCGGTCTTCGAGCTGCGGTCTTCGCTGTTCAGGTTCGGCTTTTTGCGTCGCGCACCGTACATCAGGGGACCCAACTGGACTGTATCGGACTGTGCCTTGTGCCGATGCTTCGACCCACCGATCCCATCCGAACCGACACACATGAGCCCCCCGGCCCAGTCGCCGGTCAGCTTCGTCGAAGCGGTGCTTTCCTCCTGCCGACGTGGTGCGCGGCGACGTGGTGCGGAGCTCCAAGCTGGTTGGACATCCTCTTCATATGGAGGGCTATTGTAGAATCAAGGGTCTACATTGGACCTGTTGATGAGTCAAGCCTCCTCTACCAGAACGGTTTGACCATTTTTGACCTCTCCATATTGGTTCTTTCAATGTGTTTTGCATGTTCCGGGCCTGCGCCCGATCTTGATTCTGGGGTCGAAGCCAGTGCAACGGCACCGTCTCCGCGACCGCGTCACCGTGGGCCTTGGGCCTTGGGCCCCCTGGGCACCTGGGCCCCCGCCCAAGTCAGTCCATCAAAGAGATCTGCTGGACGAGTGTGGCACCCACCTGCGCGTCATTGGGTAATGAGAGCACGCCACAAACGCCAAAAACTACCAGGCTGATCATTGGAGCTCCAGAGGTTGAGGTTCATGTGGCTTTGGAATGACACCGAAGGCTGAATGGTCCCATCTCATCAGAGCTGGCCTCTCTCAGTTCCTGTTCAGCTGTCCTCCACCACGTGGGTGTGTCCAGGTGGAAAGGAAAAAACTGATCGCCTGATCAGTTCCGGGGCTTCCTGGAGGAGTTACCAGACCCACTTAGACCCTGAAGGCTTCTTTCCGGAAGGGCCGGTGACTCCCGAAACCGTGCGCTTCGGGGCTTCAGCAGCTTGGTCCGGAGCCGGAGGGGGGGTTGATCTAGGAAGTCTCCGCTCAGCTATGCCCACTACGTGAAAATCTGGGTGTGTATACCGTGTATAGATGTATCTATACATACATAGAGCAATACCACGAAGACGTCAAGAACAACTCAATCTTGCACACGCTGCCGCTCAGTCAACCAACATCATCAAAGCAAAACGAGCTCGAAATAGTGTAGAGGACGACCTGTTCAAACCCCGAATTGGCTCTTCCACTTCCAGGTTGCATGATGACAGCTATACCTTCAACAGATACGAAACCGCGGAACGACGACGATTGACATCCTTTTCTCCGAACGGTCTCGTCTCGTCTCTGCGGGTTCGGTCTCTGCATCGGTCTCTCGGCCTGGCTGCTCCTCAACCTCGGCTGGAGGCCACTCGAGTGCAGAACAAGGTACTTGGAGAGCAAGGAGAAGAGACAGTCAGTCAGGAAGATTCCTACCCCTGCAAACATCCACCAAAAAGCATCGAAAAGCTGAAATGCTTCACTGGACAGGGTTTAGGGGCAACTCCCATGGTCGCCCCTTTTTTCGGCTCCCTGTTGAATGGGGTGAAGCAGCTGTGGAGGCATCCCGCACAGGGATGCCTGCTTGGTGCGAGGATCCCCTGTAACGATCTGTTTTCAGCTCCCTTCGCGTCGGACTTCAGTGAGGTCCTGTAGGCTCTTGAGGACCATACACCCCCCAAGCCTGAAGAGGATGTTCAATTCAAATGGGGGGGTGGTTAATTCACAGTGATGTACCTGCTTGGTTCAATTCTCACAGGGCGGTTTTGAAGAAATGGAGGGATGTCTATACATGGTCTTTGGGGTTTGAGCCAGGAGGTTGACCTGAATCGTTGACCCGATACACCTTCCCTGATGCGTACTCGCGTCAGAATGGCATGAGGCTAAGCCGAGAATCTGCCGATGTAGGCCTCTAGAGTTGTAGATTGGATGAGGTTTGGGTATGACTTCCTTCTACAAAGATTCCGCGACCGCATCGCATCTGACACAGGGTGCGTCTGTCACCTCCATCTGGTGCTGTGCACAAAAGGATCAACACAACACGCGTTCCCTGCTTCATCTCTAAACTGGGCTAGAGCTTTGTGCCAGTTTACTTGCACCTTCAGGGGCCCGTCTCATCTTGCTACTTGCCTGCGGCTGTAACTACACATCACCCGTCAAACTCCGTCAAACAATGTTTTTCGAGCTCCCTTGAAACAACCATGGTCGTGAACAAAATGCAGCCAAGAACTTGCTTTGTGCTTTGCCTTCTTCATCCATCTTGTATGGAAAGGCAGCACTAAAAGGTAAACATTCTACGTGTTTTGGATTTGTGCGTGCGTGTAGCAAAAGAGTTCGCGAAGGGGAGGCCTGAAAGCGATGTCCAAACGATGCCACCTGCTGCCAACAGCCAGGCAAAAGGTACTCGAATCCTGAGATACCGTAAACACCACAATAGATACCGGCCTCAGTCTACCAACACTGGAGGCGAGACTTTCCGAAGAACACTGGAGGCGTCCAAGTCCAAATTTCAGCAGCTCTGAGCGTTTCCCCCCCCACCCGACTGAAAGCCAGGATCCACCGGTAGGTTGGTCGTATGTCAACGACCTGTGTTTTTCCCGTTCGCTTGGTCGGTCGGTTTGTTCCCTTTCCGGAGCACCCTCCATCGTCGTCTCGAACGGTGGGCTCGGACCCTGGGGGAGTCGAACGGTGGCTCACCGAAACAAGGTGAGGAAACTGAGAGGGACATCCACCCGCGATGGGAGATGGGTGTGCCCAAATGGGTGCCCCAACTGTATGATGGAGGCCTCATCTGTGGCAACCACGTCATCTTGATCGTCTTCTTCCCCTGGCTTCGATCCCAACGGAGGGCTCCGATCCCGTGACGGGGAAAACGAAGGCACTCGGAAAAGACCGAGTCCAAGGCGGTTGGGGCGGTTGGGGAAGGACATGGATGCCTTATGTTCACCATCCTTTGGCAGAAAAAAACTGCTGGGGAGTAAGATGGTAAGCAGATCTCTGAGATGATCTCTGTGTCATGACTCTTTCTCAAGGGTTCTAAGACTGGCACGCCAGTCTTCCCGGCCACCGGCCACCCTGGACCGAACGACACCGGCACTTGGCACCTTGAAACGGACCCTCGGTTGGTCCACAGCATTTGGGATGACATTGTCCCATCAGCAGCTCCTACTGGTGTCCTCTGCTTCTTTGCTGCGGCTGTGGTGATAGAAATTGGGGCACAATTCCTACATTCTATGACTCTATGAATCACCTCACCTGCCTGGAAGCTGCCTCTTGAGTTTAAAAGCCTTGACATACATGATGCTGCTCATGTCCGACAGTAGAAAGCCTGCGTTGATGATCGCGGCTCTTCGGCGGAAGGGGCTTGTGAGTTGAAGTCAGGCATTTGTGAGAGGCAACCGCAACGACCATCAAATGCCACGACTAATTATTTGACGTTGCAACTGCCCACGATCAATGTGCATCGCCCACGAAGTAGTTTTGTGAAACTTTGCCCAACAAGGCTTGAGCCGAAAAGAGGGAGAAGGGGGCGGCACCACGGGAAGGGGGCACACTCGCTTCAAGCAGCGAAACCGGTTTCCAAGACATGGGCCCTCTCTGGGTAGAGGTGGATGAACCCATTGATATCAAGAGGAAAGAGATTGCTCTCGCGGTAGAACCTTCAGAAAAAGGTACAGGCACATTCCCCCCTCCGTGATTGCCAACAAACCACGCCCTCAGGTTCCACTTCACGGTCGCCTCGAACTTTTGTACCAAGAATGGCCCAAGAATGTCCCTTTGTCGAGTGCGTGACCTCATGGAGACGCCCGCCCAGTCGCGTGCGGGACTCCCCGAGGCCATTGGAAGCGGTGTGACACACCGGGAACCGGTACGGGGGGCGGTGGTGTATTGAGCGTAAGCGGTACGTAGTACGTGGAGTCGACCCATGGTTGAGTATATACTTGGGTGGGGATCTGTGGGGCGAAGGATGAACAAGTCCTCGAAAGTTCCGTGTTTCGGGGAGTTGGACAGCATGCATTCTGGAGGGGGTTTGATGAGGGAGGAGGAGAAGAAACAAGAATGGAGTCTGCTACCACAGCACCCTGCTCGCTGAATTGTCTGGGGGAACAATGCAAGAGATATCTGGCTACACTCTGATAGCAACATGGACGTGCGATGTCCACTTCCATGTTTGTTGGCTGGCTGGTTGTGCTCTTTTACAGGCGAGCCAACCCGTACAACGGTCACCAATTTTTTTGCCTTTGCGCAGTCGTTGGTTCCGGCTAAGCCGGTTAATGTGGGGAATGGAAATCCCAAGAAGGCTCCTCAATGACTCAAGCAAGTGTAATTTATTTACAATCTGAAGTTCTAAAGCATTTTGGAGCTATCTGAAGTGTTGATCAATTATTATCAATTTGAGGCATGCTTTAATGATGGGAATCCAGACCAGCCATGCAAGGGGTGCTTTCCAAGCAAGCGGATTGGAGTCCATTCTGGGTGGTTCTTGAGTGAGACGCGATGGCCTATGCCTTGAGCAAACCACTCTGGCACTCTGGTAAAAGCGGGTGCTGTTGGGCACTCGGATGCATCCTAGGTCCACTTTGATCGTGGCATCGTTTTTCAGGTTTCGGCCATGAAAGCAATGTTTTTGCGGGAAAGCCTTGAGTCAACTACTCCCCTACTCAGCCCTCGCGGCTGCAAAATCCATCTATAAGATTTCTACGAGCGATCTTAGCAAGCCACGGGCGCAGGTTTCAAGAAGAAGCACGTAAGACTATTGACTGTGGGGAGAGGCCCCGCCATTTTGCGAAAACGCACTCTCTCTCTCTCTAACATGTCTTCAACTACCTTTGGACAAAACATGTCTTTATACTCCGGCATAGTCAATTTTAGAAGAAATGTGTTGAATATTTCACCTTAGAAGGTGCCCTTTTTTGGTGGTACAATGTCGTAACATGTTCCTTAGCTAAACTCCCGATCCGATCCAAGAAGAGAAACGGGATCGTCAGTGTCTCCATCGGTGAAGTGTGTAGCTCTCTGATGAGTTGCTGATACAGTACTTTCCCCCAACCTTGAGATACTCCTTTCCAAGATTTGGTTAGACAAAAACTGCCCCAACAGCACTCAGAGGCAAAGCCAATGTCACACCTTTGGTGTGACATGCGACCTGTCCATCAAGTCCAAGATCACCGACTCAATTCACGACGATATAACACCACCCATCCAACGGCGAAAGAAATAAACTGTCTCAGAAGTGAAGGTCATGGGGCGAGTTGCACAGCCACACCCTGCCGCCGCGCGTCCTCGCCACGCCTCAAATGCGATTGGAGCCCTGCGCATGAAGCACCTCTTCGCCGGCATCCATTCCTTAGGCCCGCCGGAACTGCCCAACACAAGCAACCAACACTGTAACACTGGGCTGGCGCGCACAGGCGGAAGACATTGGGAGGAGTCTTCCCCCCCCCCCAGGGTGGGGGATTCCGGCCCCCCCCCGCCTTTGTCCCCACGGCCCCGGTCCCGGGACCCCGTCGCCCCCCCCCCCCCCATGCGTCGGAACCAGCGCGCCGGTGTCCGAGCCGTCCGAGCCGCGGAAGAGTCGCAGGTGGTTGGCCATCGACCCCCGTCGCAGGAGCTTCGGCCTCGCGGCGGAGGGCGACGGCGCGGGAACCCGGCGGAGCGACGCCGGCGGAGCGGTGGGAAGAGGTGAAACCACCAGACCAAACGGCCGGTGGAAGGATTCGGCCACATGCGCCCTCAGGCTGAGACCTGCACGCAGGTGAAAAAAGAGATGATATATAATATAGAGAAAAGGTTTATATATATATATATACGTTGAACTTCCTCAGAGTGATTCTTTTCGATCTGCGGCGGCAAAAACCTCTTTTGGAGTCACAGCCTTATATTTGAGTCTGCGGATGTTTCTCTAGTTTTCTGATTTTTTCTGATATTCCACGGGCGTTTATACACAAGCTAGGGCATTTATTGGTGAGCCAAAGGCGTTTTTACCCGAACTAAAGAGTATGTTTTCTTTCGGTTGCGGATGTTTATGTGGTTCACAGACCTAAATATAGGTATGTTGAACCACGATCACCCAAAAAATAAAGGAAAGCAACCACGAGGTTGCAGGTATAGACTGTTTCGCATCATCGATTGGCCTGGCATGAGGTTTCCTGGTGAAATATCACATTCAAATCTATTTCAACTTCCGGAATGTCGTGGAAAGGGCGGTGTCTGCATCCATTGGACAATGGATTCAGAACCAAATGATGTTGATTATATAGTAAACCCCGCCATTTGAATTGGAAATCCTCTTCATATGGAGCTCATTAATCGAGAGTCTACATTGACGTCCGCAGAAGCTTGATCCAGAAATCTGATGACATCAGCTGGTTTCTTCGCGGAAGCTCTGGTCCCTGCCACACAGACTCCAGACTTCTCACGTTAAAAAAATCAACGAACGACGTGGGACCACAGAGACCGTGGGTGACCGATGCGTGAGCCCCGGACTGCCCTGGCCTGGAGTTGGAAGTAGTTCTGGTATGATGCACCTGCGAATCCGAACTACACCGCGGTTCCGGGCTCCACGGACGAGATGGTGAGTTCGCCAGGTCTTCCATCAGAATCGGTTGGGAGTTCGCCCGGGGCCCGGGAGGACAAACTCGAGTGGAGACAGTGAGGATGAAGGTGCTGCTGCTGCTGCTGGTGGTGGTGATGATGATGACCAGTCAGGGTATCGAAAAAACAAAAGTGTGCAGCTGCTAGTGGAACAAGGATCTTGAAGTGTTTGGGAAAGACCTCATCCCCATCCTGCTGCACAGTGCGCCAGAAAAAAAATAAAACAAAAAAGCATGCAATCGTGCATAAACATCCATACATCGACTAGGTCTTCATGTGATCAACTCCTTGGCAACAGCCGCCATGGATTCCGGACACTGATCGACGAATCGCCGGACTGTAGGAGTCCGTCCACACTCCCCGCGTCGAGTCCACACTCCCTGAAAAGATCATGGAAGTGGAAAACCAGCTGTTTGTAGAGGAAGATGGTCATCCAAGGGGCATGATGGGCATGATTCTTTCAGGGACACCTGGACTCTCCTGTGGCAACAAGGCTTCAGGACGTCCAGCGGCACGTTGCACGTGTCCTGACGCCTCCTCCAGGATCTTCAGAATGTCGGACAACTTGTCATGCAGGTGCGTCAGGTCCTGGGGGCGTGGTCGGCCCAATCGGCAGGGTGTTGCTGGAGAGAACTTCTGCCAAGCATCCGCTTGCATCGCCACTTGGTCAATAGCACGAGCAGGTCCTGGCTTCAACATGATCCTGAACTCACCTTGGTGTCCCTTTTTGCCCCGCATCCCTCTCAAAAACACATCCAAAAGACCAAGACTTGATCTCGCCCTCCCGTCCGCGCGGACGCGGACGCTCGCCCTCGCCGGACTCGTCGGTTCCGTCACCGTTGGTGGACGGTCCGTCAGTGGGTGGAGGTTTCTGTGCTTTTCCTTCCGTAGCCCTTCACTATCTCAGCCAATTCGTGGGCAGAGGACAGATACAGTATTGTTTTGCTACAGTAATGGTGTCCTCCTTTTTTGTGAGGGAAAGGACCATCATGCAGTGAACGGAGTCGCAGTGAGAATTACATGGACAAAGGGCACCAGTCCTTTGCATCTCAGGATTCCATCAATGAATTCTTCCTTGGATTTGCCCGAAGGAACCTGGGAAAATGACATAAAAATACATATATAATTATATATATATATATACGTTACGAGTAGAACTCTTGTGTGATTGTTCACGTCGACAAAGTCAACATATGTTCTTTTTCTGTCTTTTCTATTCACGCATGTAAATTCCCTGGGGCGGGTTCACAAACGGGAGAAAAATACTAAGCAAAACCAGGCTTCTCTCGTTACTTCGCCATCCCCATTATCCTTGGCCAGTGGGCAATCATGCGGGCACCACGTTCAAAAGCAGCATAAAACACGGCGCCATAGCAGGACGGCAACATGCTAAAAACAGGGAAGCCTCAAAACAGGCGAAGTGACCACACTCAAATAGCTTCTCTGTCAAACGGGATGGCTCGCTTGACCCGTGCTTCCCCAGATGGTAAACACAAACATCTACGGAACCTTGCAGGTCTTGGAATGGTTTCACCTGTGCTGTCATGAATCAGGCCCCGCTCACTCCCACCTTGGATTGTTGTCCCCACCCACTAAAGGGATTACTTACAGGTGAAAATTGCCCAAATCAAGTGGCATCCTGGGCCGTACCCCCACCCTTCCCGACAGCGTTACGACACGTTCCGCCAGGCGGCTAGAATGTGGAACAACGCAGCTCCTTTCAGAAAAAAAAGGACCAGCATGGAAGACAAATATCTATAAAATAGTATATATATATATATATTATATATATAAGCGACATTAGAAAAGCAAAGGAACTCGTTGGATTTGTCTACCAACCTCTGTAGAAGTAGGGGATCATGGACTCTTCCCCCCTATAGGCTTTCCTGTAGAACGACTCTATGAAATTGGATGTGAATGTGTCTGAGTTGCCCAGTTTTTGGCTTCTCGGGATCCATGTCTTTCACGTTGCTCCGACAGAGAAAACCCGAAAACGGCTCACCCGGAACCATTCTCGCCGGTCTCGGAGGGGGCCAACGAAGGTGAAAACGGTCCCGTCGCAACCACCCACCTTCGTGCACATCCACCTCGAGCGTCTGGAAGTAGGCCTTCACCTGCTGGAGAATGAGAGGCCCCTTGAAGATGTTGATCGTACCGCTTTGATTGCACTGCAGTATGTTGACTCATGCAAGTGCATAGTAAAAGCAAGTGTTTATTGATGCAAGTGTTGGCCCGCATCGTCGAGTTGATCCCTGTGGCGCACAGATAAGAATCTGCCAACCAGACGATCCCGTCTCTACACCACTGGATCTGCAGAAGCTTCTGAAAACATAAGCATCCAACAACTCACAACTCACAACTCACAACACATTTCTTCCTTGTTGGCTGAGAGTTCCGACTATATATATACATAAAATGTTCTGAACTAACTCCTCACCTCCTAAGCAACAAGATGCAATAGGCCAAAAGACGGCAGAGGTTCTCTTCCAATCACCGCTGTGAGCCGGATCCTTCACAACTGGAGAAGAATCATCAGCTTTAGAGTGCTAAAGGAGCGTGTGCCTCCAGCGATCCCAGACACCGAGCACCCGCGCCCCCCCTTTTCACCTCCTCGTGTCACCTCCTCAGTGCCCCCGTCACCCGGAGTGCCCCCGTCGTACCCGGGTGACCTCGGGTACTTGGAGGATCTCGGACATCCGCTGTTGGGTGATCATGCCTCGCAGCAGCTCATCGTCGAGGGGGAAGCGGAAGGTCTGTTCCCTGGATGACAAATGGATCATTACACCGGTATAGACCCCAAATAGCGTGGGGGGATAAACTCACAAGGCGTACTTATGTGCTACTCCACTGGAGCAAGCAGGGCTTCCGAAAGTGATGCAAAAGCGTCAGGGACGGCTCCAGAATACAAGTTAAGTTGCAACCAGGGGCCGGCTGTAGAGCCACAGCGTTTCAGGTCTCCAGGCAAAACCCCCCCAAAAAAAAAAACGAACACGTCACTCCTCACACTCCCGATCCTCTGCTGAGCCCGGCTCGGGCTTCCAGGTCGGCCCAACAGTTCGAGGTGCCATTCCCGACTTCATCGATGGCGCAAAAAATCTTCTCCAGCTTCTTGACCTCGCGGTTCCCGGTCGATGGCCAAGAACCGAACAGACCGGGAATCCCCAGATCCGTTCGGATTCTGAGCGTTCGAGACCAGCATGCTGATGCGGTACTCATGCGCATCTCTGATGCAGAGCCCTTTGCCTCTTCAAAAGGCTTTGCCGAGGAAATGGGGATCCCAAAACCATGAACCTCTCGAATCTCTTAGATCTCTTTAACTTCCCAGCTGCAACTCCTTGTCGCAAAGTTTCAGGTACACCCGCAACCTGCAGAGACCTCCGCTCCCTTTTCGGTCCGCTCAAAGAGGCATCGTCACTCACCGCAGCTTTCTCCTCTTGAGCTGCTCGTCCTCTCCTGGCAACTTCTCTTTGGATGCCAGCGCCTCCACCAATCCCACGTAGACCTGGTTCCAGGCGTCTTCATAAATGCCCCGAATACATCCAGCCTTTCTTGTCCGGAATGCCATTAAGAGGCAAGTAGTTATAAAGCAGTCCTGTGAAGTAAGTTCCCTACAATACTTGAATCAGAAAATGGAAATCACTTAAGGTCCCAGTCAAAAACGCGCAGATAATCGTAGTTTTTAGTCGTTGCTCATCTTCAAAGTTTGCTCGTCTTGCCTCAATGCCCGCCAAGAAGATGTCCACCGGCAAATACTCATTATGCTCGTGCAGCAAAATGGGGCAGTTCTTCATGGGAGAGAAGCCCAGGGCTGGGATATGCAGCTCTCCTGAGAGAAAAACCGGTGCGCATCAGCCCTGGCACATACCACATCTACATGGTGTCACCAGGAGGGAAAGGTCCAGCCCCCATCGCCATAGCAGGCTCTAGGCTGGGGATTCAGAGCACCAATTTGTATCTCACATGGGAACAAGAACCGGAAACTTCAAGATGAAGACTAAACATCCAAGAAGAAGAAGAAGAAGAAAAAGAAGAAGAAGAAGAAGAACTTCATTTGCTCTCCGAGGAAATCGCACCCTTCTTCACCTCTGCCAGCACCCTAGCCAAGCGTCGCAGGAAGCGCGAGTCGGTGGCCGCCGGGAACACTTCCGGCTCCACCTTGTGATTCATCGAGGCCATGGCTTCGCTGAAGGCCACCCACCAGGGATTCGACTCGTCGGTGGCCGTGACGAAGTGCTCGGACAAAGGACGGGTCCAGGGTGCGAACTGCCAGACCACGCCTTCATCTTCACACCTGGGCCGGATCTGATGAATCGAAGCCCGCAGCCGGCAGCTCCTCTGCTCCGCCCGGCCCAATTCAGGTGGAGTAGATTGTTGCCAGGACCTAACCTTCCTCTTGCTTCAGGACCAGATTTCTAGAAGAGGCGTCCCACTGAAAAAAATCACAACAAAATCTTAAGATCCTAAAGCAATCCGGGTAAGAGCAGCAGGGTGACTCGCCAGCTTGCAGTGGTTCAACGAGAAAACATGTTCTTGGGCCGCCAAGTGCAGGAAAGGGGCCACTTGTCCAACAAGGCCTGAAAATCCTTGGGTGCCAGATTGGGTGTGATGCGGACGTCAAAGCCGGCCTCTGCTTCGGTGGGAATCACGTTCAAACAAAAGGTCTTGCCATTGTCATTGGACACTCCTGTGCGCAACATGGTCAGATTGAGCGTCGTCACATCGCCCAGCTTTTTGGCGGTGCCATGCTTGCAGCCTTGGCATCGGCACTTGTGAATGCCAACACATGCCAAGTTCCCTAGCACACACGGGCCCGCATCTTGCCGTCTTGAGCGCTTGCCGGCCTGTTGGCTTGCTGAAGCACAGGTCAGGCTTTTCGGGGAGTCACCAACTGACAGGGAAGTAAGTACACGAGTCACTGCTGTTTGTGGTGAGCCCCCATTGTGTTTGTCACACTCTTCCAATCGCGCATTCATCCAATGTCATCTCCTTGTCATCTCTCATCTTCACTGTGTCGCCTCCTCTGTCTTCCATGCAACATGGGGCCCGTAGTTTTAGCCCATCCCCGCACTCTCCACTATGGCTCCACAATGGGGCACACTGCGAAGTTCACCCAAAATGAAAAGCATTGGCCAAAACCTCCACAACATCTGTATAGAGGTGCATTGAAAATGAAGTAAGCCCATCAGCACTTTGCACTTCAGAAGCTCTCCCAATTTCAATGTCACCACCCCCCTTCATGCCCGACCTAAGGCCCTGCATCTTTTTCGCCATCCCTGCAACCCCCCGCCCTCCATCCTCTTCGCCGAGAGCGCCATTCTGATCATGCCCCAGCGCCTCCTCCTGCGCTTGGCGGAAGGCCAGCGCACGCTCGGCCATCCGCAGCAGCTTTTGCGGCGCCGTCTCCTTGATGAACCGTGACCCGTGGCCTGGGCAATGTCCGCACCGCCGGACGTGCTCGCTGGACCCAGTCGTGCCGCGGTCTCAGAGATGAAGCGACCAAACACGATGGAAAGGCCGTTCCACCGGTGTTGAAGCTGTTGAAGCCCATTGCTGAATCGTCCAAAACCCATGGTTTTTTACCTCATGTGTCCTGTAAATGCCCATGCCAATCCATGCTCACCAGCGGCTAGTGCATGGCTCACCACCGAAACCCGCCCTTCTCCCCCTTCCAAATCTGCCTCCCTCCAAATTTCACTCTGCCTCGCCTGTGGGCCCACTGGCTCTCACCAGGATCCACCAGGGCGTCCGCTCACCATAAAACACGGTGAAGGCATCTCCTGGGTTCGCCAGACCCTCATCCAGCGCCAAACCCAGCGTGCCCAAGGCTTGAAACTCCGCTGTCTTCAGCAATTCGCCCATGCCCTCCACACCGCCCACCTCGGAAATCCAAGGACGACACTCCAGCTTCGAAGCATTCAACATGATTCAACTGCGGAGCGTGGACCCTCCAAAAAAAAAAACAGCAAGTCCAAAGGACGGGTTAAACTGGTGCGTTGACCCACTGGGTATATATATATATATATATCTCTGTGTGTGTGTGTGATTTTGGACTACTTATACAAGCTTAAATTCCAGTGGCATGGTCTTTCGCATCACCCTCGGCCCACCACTCGGCTGTGCCTCCTCATCCGGGACGAAGCTCAAGTGCACTGTGCGCTCTGGCATGAAGTGTTTCTTCTTTAGCCGCTCAATGGCCAACAGGTACTGGACACACACAGACTTCATGTCTTGTGTGCCCCGCCCATAAATCTTCCCATCTTTGATCTGGGCTGCCCAGGGGTCCACGGTCCAAAACTCCTACCATCGAGGAACGGCATGCGACAACGTGAGGATTTGACACAGTGCAACCGATCATAGAACTTGCACAAGTGAGTGTCTGGAGTGCCCTCTTCCTTTGGAGGTACGTCAATTGGACAATTTTCTCAAACTCCAAAATCCTCCACCGGGACGCAAGTGTTGGTTCCACGCCCCAAAAGACTTTCCAGGCTCCAATTTCCATAGCTTTCCATAATTTCCATGGTGATCAGTCTCCATAATGTCCATAGGTGTGGGAAACTGCTTTTGTCGGAGACCATTTGGAAAGTTTGGGATGGCGACGTTCGACCAATGGCCAACCACTCAAACATCTCAAACCATCTCAAACCCATTGCGTGGTGCACACAAAGCTTTGGCGGTTCGACTTCGCGATTGGTGGATTAGCTTCTGGATCCCCCGCGTGCCAGTGGACCCCGGCCAAATCACAAATACTGGAAGAGAACTATTACAAATTATTTATACAGCTGACAGCTTACCAACAACACTGGACTAAACAGATCTACAATCTACAGATTCCGCCTCCCCCCAAGTCAATCCACAGATCGGATATCCACGGCCGCCTCCATCGCCGGTACCACGTCGTAGTGGGAGTTCAGCAGCAGCGCCGGCAGCGAGGGATCCCGGCCCGGCCAGGTGGCCAGGAGAACCGGTTTGCCCTTCACGGGTTCCACCTGCTGCGTGGCCAAGCCCACTCGATGGCAGAACCTGCGCTGTCTGTGTGGCGCAGTGCGGCTCTGAGTCCGGCACCTGGGGTTCTGAACTAGAAGAACCTGGGCTTGGCCAGACCAATGGCAGACAAGCGAGTTGAGTCGCTGTTCCACATGTGACTGCACATGTCCCCACACCCATTGCACATGAAGAAGCTTCGTCGACACCTCTGCGGGAATTGTAGAACCAACCGATAAGTGTGTTGACAATCTTGAAAAGAAGGCCACCCTAGAGTGCAAATTCTGGGACTCGCCAGGCCACCGCTTCAGCCACTGCACGGCCACTGCGTAGGAGCCGCCCGGCCCTTCGCCCGAAACGCTCCGAATGCGGAGGAACTCCTGGGCAACGTTGCACACTGGAGGACAAACCTGGAGCCCTTTAGTCCTTGTTCGAGGTGATTGTGAAGAGTCATGGAACAAGGAGTCTCGGATTTCGATCTGCAAACGCATCCGTTTGCCTCAACAATCTAGAGAAACAGGGACTTGGACAGTCTTTTGGGTGGAAGAAGGCCACCACAACGGTCCCCAACCAATCTGCTTCACCGGTCCCGGAAGAGCTCCACGGGGTCGTCGGGCAGGCCATTCGCCGCCATGAGCCGGCGGGGTGGGGTGAACTCCACCGACAAGCTGGGGGCCGGTGGACCCAAAAGGCTACGGAAAAGAGAACGACACGAAATGTGTAAAGCGAATCCCCTCAAAGCACGACAAGGCTCGCCCCGTTCTATCAAGGATCCTCTCGGCCCCAGTTGAGCTGGTCGTTCAAGTGCTGTCATGAACCATCCTGTTTTGGGGGCTCCCGGTGCTACCGGTCCAGCCAACCACCGGTGGCATGTCCCAAACAACCGCAGTGTCGGTCAGACTTGCAGGAGCTGGACCAAAAAGCCGTTGAAACGATTTAGAAGTTGGACCCCCCCCAAAAAAAAAAAGTATCCGTGCATACTGCATACCAAACTACTTATCCCAAATAACCATTTGGGAACCCAAATAGTGAATCATCCTGTAAAGAAACCTGTTACATAACTACTTCAAAAAGTGAAGCATTTGTTTGGTTGTTCTCCTGTCGGGTCACCCTTTTGACAACGCAAACCGACTTGACTAGTCGAGGGTCATTGACATGGAAACGCACAGCCATGAATTCTTGAAACAACCACGCTGTGTCACACCATCTGCAGGCACTTTCGAAACAAACGCAATGGGGGTTCCATGTAGATGCCGCGATGAAGAAGTTGAATGAACGCCCTCACACGTCGCATCGTAGGCACTTTTGCTGCTCGTCTGAGCGCCGGACATACTGTGCCTTCTTCTGGAGCTTCTCCTGGCGAGGGAGCATTCAGTGGAACAAGTCGGAGGCCAAGAACACCTGCCCACATTACACAAGATCGAAATTGAAAATATTGAACCCCTGCATGTTGGACCTACTGCAGTTTTATGAGGTTATTCCGTGCTGGGTGAGCTCAAATACATAGCGCAATGGGAAGTGCCGGAAGCTGGACAACATTTCTTCGTTTGTCAAGCGCAGTCCTCACACGCGCAAAGTGGGGAGGTTGACAACGACTCATGGTCCCCGTACGAGGGGCATACCCAGAAAGCATGAGGCATGCAAAAGGATGAAAAAAGGTTGGCGGCTATTATCTTAAGAGCCAGTAGGTTTGGTGAGCAAGCGTGGTGTGGAACAAATGTTGGTACTGCTCAATCACTGGACAGTGCCGCTGACACCTCATGCTTCCGAGACACAACCACCAAATGCTCGGCATCATTGCTTGCAGCATCCAGCGTGTCCTTCAAAAAGATCGCTGTGATAACCTTGCGTGTCGTCGTCATCCTCATCATCAACATCATCACCACCACCACCACCACCATCATCATCATCATCATCATCGTGGAGGTGCATTGACGTTGCCCGTAAAGGTCCATATCGACACCGACACGAGAGCGTGTGGTTTCATCCTATCCCTTCTTCAGGTGAACAGCGCCGAAAATCAACTGTCAATTTATGCCACAAGGTCAAGACCATTATATATGACTTATAAAACCATATGCCTCCAATCAAGTCAACATGTTCCAAACAAGCGGGGTTCTTTCTCTTGCTTGATCACTGAGCAAACCGAAATGATTTCTTGATCCGCCACGTCTGGGATCGTTTGATCATTCACATCGTTTGATCATTCACATCTGGCGGTGCATTTCTGGACCCAGAAAAATCCAAGCGGCTCGTATGACCGCGAACACTATGAGTGTTATGTACAGCAGGAAAAATACCGCGAAGTAGCTGCTCCTCAGTGACGGAAAGCTGCGATGCGCACTGTTCAAGCAGCTCAATATGTTCAGAAAGACCGAAAGTTTTCTATCAAAGATGGTGACGAGACAAAGACTCCGTGGCTGTGGTACCAAGGAAGTTTAAGTCGATGTCTCCAAGGGTCAAGACCTGTCCCAGGTGAAATCAACAAGTCTGGAGAAAGGAAACGATATAAAGACCGAAAGCATGCCACATCTTACCGGTCACTGTGATCTTGAACACGTCCTGTCGTCGTGCTGAATGTGCCGGGCTGTGCCAACATCTTTCACCAAACTGACGCCGTGCGTCATTTCAGCCTTGCCAAGGTACCCTGAAGCCCTGGACTCCCCAAGTCTGCCCCAAGTGCCCGGTCAACATCCCACATCGCAGCAGCGTTCTGCCCTTTTTAACGCCACCCAAAATTCACGCAAACTACTAACTATTATGTCTATATCCATTACCGGCCCTTCCTCAAATCCACTTGGCGCAACTTCTTCAATGTGACAGTTTCTGGCGGGCACTGGCGCATTGCGGCTACGATTGAAGGTGTGATGGAACGCGCGCGTCAACTATGACTACAATGACAACCATGGAAAATGAACCAATTTTTCTGGCCACCATCGCATCATGTTTGGTTTGTTTTGGCATCTAGCTGCTCTTGGCCCTTGGATGACCATGTGCCCCACAAACAAACGGTTTTCTTCCATGTCAGTGATTCACGACGCAGGTTGCAGTTCGTGTGCCCCGTCACTCCCCCAAACCCATCACCAGCCACACGGTCACTTGACACCCTCATCCACGCAGCGACAAAACCTCCGGCGCCGAGTCACACACCGTCGATCACGGGTCTGGCATATGTTGGCCAATTCCTCGGTGTCACGAGGGCCCTTTTTTTCAGAGCAGTGGGCCACCATCACAACCCACCATGAGATGGGAATGAACGCCGCAGCCCACCACAATCAACCCAAAATTACAACTGTGCTTCACCGTGACCAACTGGTGCAGGACGTCTTCCAGATTCGACATGGGCCAACGGGATGCAATGCGTGAACAAAGGGGCCAACGGAAACCGACAATCTGACCAAAAAAGGTGCCTTTCATCGGCCACCATGCTGTGCCAAATGGTGCATCAACTGCAGCTCAGGAACCCTGCAAACGTTATCTCATAGAGAGTGTACATCGCACGCAGGGCTGTGCCTTAGGACATGGACAATGCAAACTTATTCTTGCAGCCTACTCCCGTGACCATCGGGGGCGGAGGCAATGTTGAAAAGAACCGTTTCCAGTACCACCACAATAACGTACAGCGCTCCAATTCTATCCCACGACCGGACAGTAAAAGGTGCTTCTTCGAGCAATGGCGCTAAAAACCTTCAACTTCAATCACTTGCTGGAGGTGTCTACCCTCAGTTGGCCAAATCGATTTGTCACTTTTTGAAGATCAGAACAATGTGCCAAGACTCACTTTTGTTCAAAACCTGGCGCCCAAAGCTATGCGCGCCATTAGGGCTTCAGCAGGCTGAATGCGGTGGGGACGGGCGGACCGTTGCTTTGACGATCGACGCAACTTAGCACTTGAAGATCAATCTGTCCAACCTTTTGATCGGTCAAAAAATGTTCTGGGTTCTGTTCCTCTTTCTGGGGTGTGACCCCCTTCCAGCGCAAAAGGTGAGCAACAGCGCCAGAAGAGCCTCCATCAAGCCCCCAGTCAAGGTTCTCAACCTGGTTGGACTGGACCGCCTTTCCATTCTAGCTGCGCCACCAGCGATATCAATGTATCTGAACCTTCAAGCAAGCCAAAACGCTCGGGCAGGCAGGAGGTAGCAAGAAAACAGAAGCTCTTTGCCGTGTTTTGCCTCTTGGTCCAGATGCCCAAGACAAGCTCACGAACCGGCATTGGTAAATGTTCCGTCCGTGTGTGATCGAACCGACCTTAGGTCGATGCAGAGGGACTTGCTTTGCTCTTTTTGATGCGCACAATCGTACACGCTTTGCTTTTCCTGCAAGCTGCCGGAGTTCTCATCAAACTGAAGTTCATGGAAGTAGCCGTTCACATTGCCCCTGTTTTTGCTCTGGGATTTCGCTTTGGCGTTCCCTTTTAAGTTTCCCTTGGAGTTTAAGTTGAAGAACTCCATCATGTGGCCCATTTTTCCGGAACCTTTACTTTTGGATTTTCCCTTGTAGAAGGCCATGGTGTCATGGGAGTCTTCGTGGGACGTGTGAAGATTCTTCCCATAGCCTTTGCTCTTTCCATGGCACGCATGTCGGTCAGGACAGTCTGATTTATTCCCCCCACAGTTGAAGCAACCTCTTTGGTTGGATGATTGGCTGGTTGGAGGTTGAGCATGAGGTTGTCGGTGATGCGGGGCTTGTTCATCAAACAGGAGCATCAAAGCAAAGCTGAACTCACTGAGTCATAGTCCAGCTGGTCTTTTGGCGCTTGCCAAGATCGAGCGGCATTCCTCAGCGTTCGGGGCCGCACCACTCAAAAGCCGCAATCCTCGAAGCTGAGCCGGACCTCGTCGAAGGTGCCCTGATGCGGATTCAACAGGATCTCCAGGATCAGGATCATCTTGTGGAACCTTCCCCTTGGAACGCGAGCCACCCCATGAAGAACCACCATCCTCATCCTCATCATCGTCGGTGTCTGGGTCGATGCCGTCAAAGAGGAAGTCCATGGTGGGTCCATCCTTGATGTCCATCAACGACTCGAGGAACGCCTCAAAGAATAAGGTCTCGCGGACCAAGTAGGCACTGATGCTTTATGAAAGCTTTCGTCGCACAAGGGGCAAGCTCTCCAACTTCTTTTATCATGACCAGCACCCCATTGGATCCTGCTATGTCTGTTCGGTTCCAATACATAGCAAGCAAACGAGTGGGGCAGGCAAGCTTGGACACAAGCCGTGGGCCAATCAATCAATGACCGCTGTTTTTTCTTGGTGCCCAAGACATACCATGAAACTTTTCCTGGATTCTCGTCCCATGAGGGAATCGTTTCAGCCGTTCGTTGAGCAGAAGCCGTTCCCTGAGCCGAAGATCACCAAGTCCTTGTTGAGCCGCGAGGTTAAACTGATGAGAGGGATCCGGTTCAGGCTCCAGATCTGATTCAGCTCGAGTCACTCAAGTGGCCGGCTCAGGCTCTGGCTCTTCCCGTTCAGGGGGTAGGTAAGATCTCCTCAAGGTGTCCAGGATGAAGCACAGGCGAAGACCCAACCAGGAGCGCTGGAGCGAACCAGTCGCTCCGCTACCAATGCAGTAGCAGGAGTGCGCAACCACCCAAAAAGAATGCCAAACAGAAGGCTATCAAGTAGTATGGCTCAAGTGGGTTCAACACAAATGCCCGTGTTACAGGCAAGATGGACAAAAACCTCGCCAACCCAAGTAGCGAACCCTTTCTAGCTTGAGCGCGCCAGTGCCTCAAGGCCTCCGGAAAAGAGGGTTTCCTCAAAACACATGTCATGACTCAACTGTGGTGGCCCTGCCGCAGGAGCCCAATCCATGCACTTGTGCCTTCAGCAACGAATAGGTGCATCATCGTTAAAGAGGCGGCCTCATGTCACATGTCTACCAACTCTCCTTTTGGAATCCAGCATCCCTTTCACCTCAAGTTTCACCCCAAAATTGTGCTTTTCCCCCAGGCTCCGAGCGGCCGTAATGTTGCCAAATCCACTCGCGAGTGTCAAAGTCCTGTCCCTGATCTGCGATGAATTCCTGCAGCCTCGGCGGGAACCCGAAGAACCAACCACGTCAGAGGATTTTCGGGTCAAGTGGGGGCGTTGTGGACTTGCTATCGGGTTTGATCCTGGTATTCATGTTGCCTTGACAACACGGGAGAATCACACCTCATTGACGTCTGACTGGCGACCTTGGTCCCATGTGAAGCTCGTCAAGATGCTGGCTCCACTGGTTCCACAAACGTCCGGAAGCCGTCAAAAAGGAGTGAAGGGTTGGGAAGCCAAAGGCGCAAGAACTTGGTTTTCCAGGCCACATCACTGGTGTCTCAACGAGGCCACAGAACAAAAAGGCTCCGCGCAACGGAAGGCAACACGGAATCCACTTTGTGCTTATGAGACCCCACGAATCACCCCCTCCCAGAAAAAAGCAGCCTCCTAGCTGCTCTAGCTGCAACCCCGAATGTCACCCCCCAAACTGTGGGAGTTCCTCACTCCGCCTTCGCTTTGCCGGCCAGACGCATGTTCCCCAGCATCAGGGCCCCCATCACCATAAAAATTCCCAGGAGAACCATGGACCAACATAGTGATGGCAGAAATGAATAGCCTCGGCTCGTCAGCTCTTCAACAAAGGGATGCACCCAGGTGAAGAAAGGGTTAAACATGCGCCGCAGACTGAACTATTGAGACCTACTGATGGAAAGGCGGGCTCGAGATGATGATCATGGACCTGGACCGAAAAAGAATGGAAAAGAAGAACACCTGTCGAAGCATCGTTTTATATCGTTTTGGTTGGGGCTGCAGTCGGAGACAAGTTCGTCTCCGGAATGCAAACCTTCTGAAAAATCACATGCGCCAAGACATGTGCACGTGCTAAAACAGTCGGCAAGATGTCGGCCTCAACTCGATAGTCGATGGTGTGACTTTAACTTCGGATTTCAATATGCAGTCTGGCGCAGCTGATGACTTAGAAGACCAGTTTCCGGAAAAGAACATGCCATTGCCCTCGTCCCTGTTCCGGTGGCACTGCAAGTCCACAGCATTCACTTCCCAGTGCAGAGCTCTAGAAGAAACTAAAGGACCGGAGCATTCTCATCTGTGTGCCAGGCAGATAGTAGTCTTCTTAGAACCCACAGCACAACAACGAAGCAATAAGACTTACATAGTCATCGTCGGTCAAGCTCCGGTAAAGCTCGTTGATTTCCACCGCCTGGTCCGGCCCAACGCCCAACGCCTGTGCCGAAATCGGCCAGATCACATGCCTGGACCAGGACCCGCAAGCCTCGGAAGAGCCTTAACGTTCTCCTGGGCGAAGCGGGAGAGCGCAGGATCGCGCGCGATCGGAAGGTCGGGAGAACCTGAAAACCGGCGGACGGTGCGGTTGCCGCGTCATGGCACCGCCAAACTAGAGGCATATTAGAAAATGGACCAGAAATATATATATATATATACTTTAAACGCTGGTGGAGCTCCTGCAAGCTCCCTGATTAGAATACATGTCCCATCATTATGGATGAAACATTATGAACTAAACATTTGTTGGCATCACTCCGTTGAAGAACGTGAAAACGGCCATGTCGTGGCGCGAGATGCTTGGAAGTTCGAGTGTAGAAAAAAAAACAGTGGACTCCAGTTCTGCGCGCCGGGCTCCATCAGAGAAAGGAAGAACACAACGCCAAAAAGAACTCGTCTCTTCTGAAAAGCAATTGGCCCAAAAAATGCAGTAAGTTCATTTTTCTGAGCAGCTTGCACAACATAGCGGTGCGGTGCCCCAAACAAATAGTTGATGAGCACAAGAGCTATCTATCATACCCCCCCAAATTGAGAAACCAACTGTTCTCCGGTTGCCAAATCAGTGGGGAACCTGAGGTCCAAGTGCTTTACTCAAGGAGGCAAAATTAACCTGGCAGCAAATTGGGGGTGACAGTCCTCCCCGCAGCAGGTTCACCACGTCGTCCCCATAAAAGACTAGACATGAAACCGCGGAACCCCGCCGGGCATGAGCACCAAAAGGGTGGCGATTGGATGTTGTTTTCATATTTTGCTCTTTTCCTCCTTCAAATCTACCAACTCCTGTCCAACAAATCGATTCTGCACCGCACTCCCGAACCTTATCACCCCTCTCCGCGCCCTCTTCGGGCCAGGCGTCACCATGCGGATGGCCCTCATGGATTTCACCGCCCGCGCCAGGCGCAACAGAATCATCTGATCGGTCGCTCCACCTGCGTCGCTCCGGACCGGATCCTCGACCACGGCGGCAACGACGGGGGGTGGGAGGAGGTGCCGCAAGGGCAGGTGCGTGGAGAAGGGATCAGAATCCGTAGCTGGCATATTCAGCAGTTCGACAGAATTCCACTCCCAAGTTGCTAGCTATCTTGGGCCCGCTTGAGCTGGTTTTGCGCGATGTCCCAGCGATTTCGCAAGCAGCACAGTGGGGTGGCAACGGGGAAAGCTCTCAGCGACATGCTGTTTCACAGTGCCACGGCGTGCTCTGTCCGGCACCTGAAAGTGCCATGGGTCTTAAAACCCAGACATCGAAGCAGGTGATGGTTGCTAGGAAGATATCGAACCAATTCCTCGGAGCAGCACGGGTGGCGACCAGAGTCATCAGCCGTTTACATACATACATACATACATTCCATTCCATTCCATTCCGTTCCGTTCCGTTACATTACATTACATTACATTACATTACATTACATTACATTACATACATACATACATACATACCATAATTAACATAAATATCAAACATAACAAACACACATACATACATACGTACGTACATACATACATACATAACATAACATAACATAACATAACATAAAATTTCATAACATGCATACAAACATACAGACATACACACATACATTGCATTACATTTACATTTACATTACATTACATTACATACATACACTACATTACATTACATCCTATTACATACTTACATGCATACAAACTTACATTACTTTTTCTACATTACATTACATTACATTACATTACATTGCATGCATTCATGCATGCATACATACAAACATCACATTACATTACATTACATTACAATACATTTCATATATATATACACACATACATACATACATACGTACTTACATACATACATACAGTACAGTACAGTACTGTACATTAAAGTACACAGCAAGACATACATTACATTACATTACATTACATTGCATTGCGTTGCATTGCATTACATTAAATTACATTACATTGCATACATACATACATACATACATACTTACTTACTTACTTGCATTACATGACGTTACAGTACACTACACTACATTACATTACATACATTACATACGTACATACACACATACATAATTTACATTGCATTGCATTACATTGTATGACATGACATGACATGACATACATACATGCATGCATCATGCATAAAAACATACATGCATACGTACATGACATGACATGACATGACATGACACGACATGACATGACATGACATGACATGACAATATGTATATATATATGTACATTCATATCTATATACTTATATACACACTCCCCGTTGGATGACCCCTCTACAAAAAGAGTTTCCCGCTTCCATGTTAGTCATTCGGCCGCTCCATTCAGTGTCCATCTTGGGTGTTCAAAGACATGGTAGAATGGCAGGCGGTCTGGCCCATCTTCGGGAGGAAGAGGTTTTAGGGCGGGGGGTTGTTCTGCCAACGGCCATGCGAAGATGAACTGTCCTGGAGGCCCCTGGCAGGATAAAAACCGGGCTGCCGTACCTGGTGCGCACACACATAAATATCCCTGGATCCATCAAATCGTGGGCAATCAAACTAACCTACTGGTGTCCCCGCGCGCCCTCACCTACTTCAACTTCCGCACTTGGTGCCATACTCACACTACCTACTCTCAACCTCACCCTGCAACACACTGGCAACAGAATCCTTCTTCCGAAGTCTTCCTCTACCAGGTTGGCCCATGCTGCATTTGGTCCACCCACCGACCCTCCATCCACCAAACCGTCCCCGCCGATGCTCCATCCACCGAAACCCGGCCGACACACCGGGCGACACTAAGGTGGTGAAGAACTTCCGCCTCTCCACGGCGATGCGCGCCCTGCGTGGCGCGACCGGCTCGGACCCGTCGTCGGTCCTGGACGGGTCGAGGGAGGGCGGTCGTGTGACCGCGCTCCACGGTGCTGGAGGGTCCAACGAAAATGAGGGAGCCTCAATTAGAGAGTCCCACCAGGTGAGGGAAAGGAAAGTCTGAGGGGAAACCCTTCCGAAGTCACTCGACCTCGGTTGCGGGAGCCACGTGCGAGTCGCCAATTCCAACCTCAAGGATGCTGTGATTGCGGGCCATGGGCCATTAGCCCGCCCACGGTGGGCGGGCAGGTCATGGGGTAGCTGGAAAGCACGGTACGGTAGCTGAAGCCTTGCCCCCGCCCCAGCTGCCCAGCCGAAGGCACATAAGCTCCAAGAAGTACAGCACGGCAAAAATGTTGTCAGAAACGGAAAAGAAGAAGGAAGGATCGGCCACCTGCATGGGAAGGGCGCCCATGAAACCAAGGCTGAAATTCCGCATGGGAGTTTGTGCTGGGGGGCATCTTCCTTACGGTTCTGAATTTGCCAAGGGCAGAACAGGTGCTCTCGCTCGGCCTCTGAAGCCGAGGCGCCGGCGCATGGCCTTGGTTCAAGGTCTGACCACTGAAGCGGCCTTCGAACTCCAATTCGATGGCCATGAAGATCGAGTTCACCTCGGGCGATTCGGAAGGCGGATTTTTCCGTGGAACCGAAGTCGTAGGACAAGAAGGCTTTCGGAAGGGAGGAAATCGCTGCCAAGCAAGACCAGTTGGAAGCAAAGCTCTAGATTAGATCACAAACCCGCAGAGTAGTGTGGGCTCTCCTTGGCTGATCCAAAATCTACCCAAACCCACTCCCAGCCCGCCAAGCAGCGAGGACACAAAGCCCCGCCTTCAGTGAATCAGAAAAGAACGCTGCAATCGTTTTGGCTGGGGGGGGGGCCAGGTCACTTGGAAGAATCTGGAGCCCCTCGTAGCGTCCTTGCTCCTAGTAGCAAGGCCATGAGCCCCTAGTAACGTCCTTGCTCCTAGTAGTAAGGCCACGAGCCCCTAGTAGCGCTTTTGTTCCTAGTAGTAAGGCCACCAACCCCTAGTAGCGTCCTTGCTCCTAGTAGTAAGGCCACGAGCCCCTAGTAGTGTCCTTGCTCCTACTAGTAAGGCCACAAGCCCCTAGTAGCATCCTTGCTCCTGCTAGTAAGGCCATGAGCCCCTAGTAGCGTCCTTGCTCCTAGTAGTAAGGCCACGAGCCCCTAGTAGCGTCCTTGCTCCTAGTAGTA